TAGTCTCTAGGACTCACGAATTAAAATGATGGATGAGGATGTACTGGTCGAACAGTCTTATGTGAACACCGAGGTATTATCGTGCAGGATTTCGAGAAATGTTCGGAAGGAGACAGAAAAAATAATGTCTATATATTTATATATATATATATATACACATGCGCAGAAAAGGAACTGCCAGCAAAACACAGATTTCATTCTCGGCACTTAATCAAAGCGTGAAATGTGCGTCGGAAACGCATGCTCAGCCAGGAGTAGAGAAAGAAATTCAGGGAGGAGTTAATAGCTAATGCCAAATTCACAAAGTTACCGGCAATGCGGAATTTGATATCCCTCACCCCGTTGTCTCGTGTGTGCAACTCCGCGGCAAGCAGAATGATGGCACTAGGCATGGTGAATATACAGAAAGTAACCACCACGACAATCAGCATCACAGTGATACGATGTCGCTCAGACAGACGAGGCCCACCACGTCTGACCCATTTTATTCGATCACCATTGAACGATCTGTGTCCCATTATGGACGATTTGCGGCTAGTCCCGTCCTCGTGTTCCAGTTCTTCAACATGCTTATTACCGGAATCAGAGAAGGAATTTTGCGGATGCACACGGTCGTCCGCCAGCGTTGGGTAGGTGAATGTGGACATATTTGTCGATAGGCCTTCATCGGTTGCTTGAATGTATTGCTTATGTTTGCTCGGGGTCTCGATTGAAGTATCATCCGATTTGTGGATTGAAGTTCTCAGTGTGACCTGCCTCATCCAGTTGGAATGATATCTTGCGTTAGAATAATGCCTCGCAGTGGAAATGCCGGCCCACTTTGAAGTCACGTTTAAATGCTTTCGTTTCAATGAAGTTTTCACCACCGAACGGATTAGCAAACCGTTGAAGACAGTCAATAATGTCAGGGGAATGATAAAGACCAAAACAATCAGAATGATTGACCATCCGATATTGCGTAATTTTTTACCAAAATCACTTTCAGTCAGTATGTATGGAAGATGGATCGAGCGTGCTCCTAGCTCTGACTGTATGTCATCCCCAGTATCACTACAATTATCCGTAGGAGCACGGCGTGGACTGGCTAGTTTTACTTCGATCTTAAAAAAATCTGGTACGGTTATCAGAAAGGTGAATAGAATAATGACAGTAATAATCCATTTACAACGTTTTCGTGTACAAATTTTTCTAGCCAAAATCGGGGAAGAAATAGCAATGAAACGTTCGATAGTGAATGCACACGTTAACCAGGCTGCAGTGTTACTGCAAAAATTTCCCACCGCCATCTGGAAAGGCATGGTGTTCATGTATGCAAAACTGGACTCTAAAAAGCGAATAGTTCTTAATGACATCACGGCTAGCACACAACCGTAGATAAAATCACATATGGCCAAAGCGAGGAGATACATATTGGTCGAGGAGCGCATCCGCGGTCTGGCAAGCACCGCAATGTTCATCACATTCGTGGTAATTCCGATCACACACACACAAGGAATAAGAATTCGAAAGCACACCAGACGTACCACTTCGTGTACGGCTTTCCATTCATCTAGCTCCGTCATGGTTCAATTTATCGGACGCTGGCACAAATGCGCGAGAGTGGCACTCATAGAAATGAATGCAGTGCATATAAAAAGATGTGAACGGTCACTCGGATCTGGTCCGATCGACCAGAATGCGAACACACATATGGTAGATTATGGTTGATTTGCTCAGTCTGATCGTTAGTGTTCCCGTCCCATTATTTGTTAGCGTTTAAAAACAACGGCATTGAGCAATACTCTCAAATGATTGGTCGAAAATCTCCACAGAATGCGATTGGTCGTTCCCACTTGGCGACACATGATGCGGTTTATGTATCAGAACCAAATAGCACTGTCCCATATAGTGTAAAATCTTACAGAAAACATGTGGAAACACGTATGTTTGTAAGGATGATAAATGAACATGTACAGCATACCGTTCTAATCTAATGTCGGTACTGAAGATATTTTCCTCTCGATCACTGCTGCAAATCCACCAAGCCGTAGGGGGACGAGGAGAACGAGGGTGAATTATCATGGTATCGATTAATTGTCATACATACAGGTGTTGACCAAACGTGTGCAACACTTTGAATTTCATCACATTTTTTCCTCCAAACGCTTAGTTTTTCCAGCCTCATTCACGGGATTGAATATGATCTTGCCCCACATCAGACGCAACATATTCCTAATACTATCCACCTATGTCTTTCCTTCTGTTAGTGGAATGCCAATATAATGCACGATTTCTGAAATTTTACGATGATCGCTGGTGCACCAATTATAAAACAACAAAGCCACAGTAAAAAAACAACCAGAATTTATGTATCACAATTACTCATAGACATCATACAGATATTGTGTTCTCATCTGGTTTATATTCAATTTACCATTCTTACCTTTTGAGCACCGAAAGCAGTCGCTTCAGCATGGAGTCCACCAAGTTGATTATTCAAAAGAATTTGTCAGTTTCCTCTTATAAATGCTGCACCCTAACCACTGAGAACCACTCTGGAGGAAACTAACTTATCCCTGTTTTTATCACAGAGAAAATTAATAAATACCTTTAAAATCTCAACTGCTGAGCAATAGTCAAATCAATTCGGCATGGGTCTCCACCTATCCAGAATTTGCATATATTTGAAAAAATAGTATTTAATGAGGCCGAAACCTTTTTCTACTGCCACCCTGAAGTGAGAAGATATACTAACCTTCAACTGTGAAAACTATGACTTCCGCAAAAGCATTTTTGGAGAGCAATTATCAAAAACCTCCCTTATCTGTACAAGAAATTTTGAGAGATCGAGATTGGCATGTGCATGAGACCAATAACAAGGCGCACTAAATTTACTTCCCTTCCAACTCGTTATGTGGGATGAATATTTACTTCTTTTGTGACATAAAACGAAATAATTCATTGGATGGCCAGGTCAGCAGAATAGCTTTCTCCGCTCGCTGTATTACTCGTTAACCAGCAATGAGATAAAGCCAATGCCAAACGGAGGGACGACGCGCTTTGAGTTTGTTAGTATAATCCATGCTTTGTTTGTCGTACAATAACGACTTCATTGCAGGTAGCCTCAGCTACATTTCAAATCGAGCTATCATTTTCCAAACGTCGACAGGAGAAAAGAACGGCTCATCGGTCTGAACTATTCTCCCTATAGGTTTTGTGCAACTTTCTCCCACGCGATCAAATTGAACTGTCGTCTTTCTTCGATGTTATCGGCTTTCTCCCTCTTGGCTTCCATTGATTCCATTGATTGTGCAGCAAGTTGAGCTCATGTTCACATCCATGCGCTTGCAGTAGTCAAGAACTGCGTCATCGGATTTATTTGCCTCTCGATTAACTTGCCTCCTGGCTTCAACTATATGCCAAAAACACTTGAATGTTTCATCCAGTTTGAGCATGGTGACACTAGAAGATGTTTATTAAGTGAGCCGCAGACCTCAAGGTCAACTTTTGAACGTCATTCTGTACGCTTCTTGGAATATATTTTTAGTTCTTTTAGTATTGGGGATGATGCGTGAGTGGTTGATAGTCAAATAATCTATCACTTTATTTAGGCTTGAAAATTTTGAATGATTGTCTTATTTATACACTATATATATACACTAAAACCAAAATAGGTAAGCAATTTATAATAAGTGTGCTCGGTCTCATAATCACTATACTGAAACCGGAGTCATTCATTAGAAAGAATGAATTTCCATGATGCCTTGCATAAAATATTGTTCAAACCTGATTTGTAACTTTTGAACTACTACAAATTATATCGCGACACTCAAGGTCGCACAAATTTTAACTGACATGAAAGAGAACTAAGAACACAAGAAAAAATGCATTTCATGCATAACCATCAATATAACTATGACTTTACAAACTGAAATGAGAGTGGTGTTTCACGAATTTGATCAACACCTGTACAACATAGTGTCTCATTTGCAACAGATCTGAATTCCCACATGCACACAGGGTGATTAGGGGAACGGTACGGCGGTGGATGCGCACTTCTCTTAATTGCCATTCAGAATACAGTAATTCGCTCCAATACGCCTTGTTCAACTTTTAACGTTGAGAGAAACAGCCAGTCATGTTCCTTTCCAGAGTCTAAGCATGCTACGCACAAAACTTCTAGGATTTGTTCTATGTAAGGTTGCTTATCATTCTAGTCTGGAATAGTCTGGAATTAGAAAATGCCAGTGATGCACGTGTTCCGAGAGAATGCACTTCCATTACGAGTGTTTTATTTGAGTGAATCATTTATACTGCGAGTAACATACTGGTGGTTCCTACTTACCTAGAGGTTTGGCAATGGAAACCGTATGTGATATTTTGTTCTCACGCGTTTCTGAACACTTGCTCCCAACTTCAACTAATCTCAGTTAATTTTCACTTACTTGCTAGTGGTGGAGTGGGACACATGACATTGATTTACACTGACTAACCTTCAGACTCCATCTTCATGATCATAGGTACTTATCGATGGAATCAACATTTGGCAATTTTTCTTAGCCCCGTTTGAGCTGGTTTGCGGAGTGGTAGCACACACATTTTCTATTCGATAGGTCAGCTGTTTAAGTACCAGACAAAACGGTAGGTTTGCACTACTGATGAGCTCTGATTAGGGCGTAACCAAACTCTAGCGTTTCCCAAGTAGATAGGTAAATAGATTAGCTGACAGTTGTGTGTGAGGATGGGGTCTGCAGGACAGTTGTTTCAAATCGATTGCTTTTGTTCCTTTTCAGTTTTGTAGCTATATCGCGACCTCTCTCCACAGAAATTCATATTCCTGTTACTAAATTGGAACAAGCAATATGAAAATATGAAAATGAAAATTTCAGTCAATGAACCTCCAAAAGTCATTATGTTATCGTATTATAATCTTTAAAACTTCCAAGACTTTCCTACATGCTGCACGTTCAATGAAAAACCTATTATTATTAGGCAAACGTTGGTTATAAATTTTTCTCTCAAGCAGGTAAAATATGAATGCCGTTTCCAGTTTATTTTAGCGTTTATCAGTCGATTTGTGACAGAGCAGTAGGCGGTCGATTATATACAATTCTGGCAGGAATGAATTCTTTAATGATAAAGTAAGAGCTAGAGAAAATTAAGTGTGAACTGAAGAGCTGGGAGTCAGGTTGTGAAAAGTTTCAACCGAGCCATAACCTCGGGGGATAGTGCTGAGATGACAAAAGATGGAGGAGCGCAATAAGCTCGGAAAGATGGGTTGTGCTAGACCGTGTACATGGGAGATGAAAAGCGGTCTGATCAGCTGACCAGTGACCGAATGGTTAGCATATATGCGTTCTGCCTGTGAGATCCCGAGTTTGATCCCCAATGGGGTCGTTGGATTAGCTCTGCTGATGACTCCCAACCAGGACGAAAGAGTTGTCTAGTGCTTCCCAGCTTTTCAGTTCAAGTTTTACTGCCTCTATTAACGACGCATTCCTTCTATAAAATGGAATCACATCCCCGATTACTCACATGAAATAAAATGTAGCTGATAATAGTTTCACGTTGATGATATAGAACACATACTTAACTGATACAAGCACATTCCGAAATTGCTTCCAAACCCTCCTATTCGAAAAATCAATAACACGCAAGATTTCACGAAAAGAAAACGGCTACAGCATATTGAAAATTTCAATAGAATAAAATGATGGTTTATAGTCCTGTGTTTATTGAAAATTAACAGGATGTTGTGGATACTCACTACTTGGCAGAATTTCACCCAATGGTTATAGGCCTGTCTTTTGTAAGCGCCGGACTAACGGACGGCAGATGTTTGTTCTCCGAATAAATTACTTGAATAATAAACACTTTTGAATGGAACATTGAGACAAAACTGTGGCCTAAAGAAATTCGTGAACAGCCGCAGCGAATAATCTCAAATGGTTGATTTCCGCGAGAAATAGCTCTAAAGCGCAATCCGCCAATTGTCATTTCAAAATTATGTGCATGTACCCCGAAGGTTCATCCAACATCCAAACCGTGTATTTCTATGTACTTAACTTCAACCTATTGCATCTTATTACGGAAGCGGTCGGGAACAATATGAACGCGGTCTCCAAGCTGCGTCACATAGATCTTACTGTTTCATCTGTATTTGGATTGTTACCTGCA